AGATGTTGGATGCTGCAGATGTTGGATGCTGCAGATGTTGGATGCTGTCTATCATGGTGCACTAAGATTCATAACTGGCTGTAACTACCGTACCCACCACTGCACCCAGTATTCACTGGTTAACTGGTCACCATTAACTTCACACAGACTCTCTCACTGGTACATTTTCATCTTTAAATCACTTCCTGGTCTGCTGCCTTCATACATCTCCTCCTACATGTCTCTGTGTGAGTGCAGCTACAGCGTGCGCTCTCAGGACATCATTACCTGCAGTGTTCCCTCAGTGAGGACTGAACTAGACAAAAGGACCTTCTCCTACTCCGCTCCTGTTTCCTGGAACATCTTGTAAAAAGAGCTGAAGCTCTCGACCTTTGACCTCTCTAAGTGACTTCAAACATCTGATAAGTTCCTGCAGATGTTCCTGTTTTTAGTTTTCTACGCCACCTTATAACCTAGCTGTTTATGATTTTATTTCATTTCTTCTATTTATTGTTTTATTTTATGCTTTTTATATGATTGTCTGTTCCTCATCTTTCTTTGTTAAATCAGGTCTCTCTTGTAAATGAGTCCTCGTGACTCAGTGAGACTAACCTGTAGAAATAAAGGTTGAACTGAATCTGCAGTAGATTTAAATAAAGTTTACTTTCATCCTGGACAACATTTCCCACAATCCTCTCCGTTTCTGTCCCTCACACATTTTCTTATTAATTAAATTATAATTTAAACAGTTTTGAGTCAAAACAAACGATGCGTTCACTGACTCCTGTAGGTTTCTTTTCTGTGGATCATTTCAGAACTGAAACTTTAGCTTTCCTTAGCAGGAGACAGAACCGTGTCCTGCTGAAGGGACATGTCCTGCTGAGGGGACGTGTCCTGCTGAGGGGACATGTCCTGCTGAGGGGACGTGTCCTCCTCTCTCATCCTAAAGTGGGGGGGTTGTTATTCTTTATTTGACGTTTCCTCGTTAGGCAGAAAGTCGTTAACCTGAAGTGTGTTTGATTGACAGGGGGCTCCGGGACAGGACGGGCTTCCAGGCGAGAGCGGCGTCTCTGGACTCACGGTGAGGCTCGGTTCTGATTGGACAGCGGCACCGTTTGGTCTCAGTTAAAGCTCCAAACAGACTGACAGTAATCTGTTAGAACAACAACTAAAGATTAAAATGAGCACCGTTTTGTTGTGGGTTTTCTGGTTCTGACCAGTTCTTAGGGTTGGTCTGGTCTCCAGACAGCACCATAGGTCCAGTAAGGTTCTGACTCTAGGCGTGTTCGGGGAGTCCAACAGGCGTTTGCTGACAGTGAAATGCTTTTCAGGAAGTGCTTTAATTTTTATTAAAGATTCGGACCGGTCTTTAATTATCTGCTGCGTGTTCTGTTCAGGGTCCGGACGGAAGACAAGGTCCACTTGGTGAGAAGGTCAGGAACCCAACCAGCACTCAGACCTGATGACCCAGGAGCTCTGCTTTAATGTTTAATGTTTAATTCTTTGTGGATCTGCAGGGCCCGAACGGAGCACCCGGATCTGCAGGACTACCAGGCCCCCCAGGTGCACCTGGCCCTCAGGTGAGTTCCTCTGGACCGGACAGTGACTCACGTCTAGCACTGTCTGTGTGGACATGAAGCTCTGCATCTTCAGGGTGGTTCTAGATGAGGCCCGGTTCTGTTTCTGTGAGATAATTTTAATGTAAAAGACAAAATGGACCTTTGAGGCGTTAAAATCATTTTAAGAATTCAGGACGTGTTTTTAAATTGTCAGCAGGTCCTGGCTTCAGATGAGCGTCCTCTAAAGGTGTCCACTTGTCTCTACAGGGTCCCAGAGGGGTCATGGGTCAACCAGGACCAATCGGACCACCGGGCCTTCCTGGAACTCAGGTCAGTTCGTTGTAAAGTTCAAGTTCAAGGTTCTTTCTTGGCTTTCACATCACATGTGGTACATGAGGTGGAATGAAATGATGTACTGAAGGTTCCAGTTACAGGTCCTTCTCAAAAACTGAGCATATTGTGATAAAGGTCATTATTTTCCATAATGTCATGATAAAAATGAAACTTTCATATATTTCAGATTCATTGCACACCAAC